ATATATATATATATATATATATATATATATATATATATATTGTATTATATATATATATATATGTATTATATAGTTATGTAAGAAATATACCCTCATACGTCACAGACATTACTGAACTACTTAGGACCAAATAGAGGGCGGGCCAGGAGAACCATTTGGCCTGGACTTCAAGCTGAAAGGGGGGTCTCAAATTTAAACACTTGTTATTTTTTTTGCATTTGTTAAGTTTCGCGACTTGTTTTTATATGCCTTCCAATCAGACCAAAATGTGGCATACACTCTCAGCTTTAAGTTGCAAATTATATATACAAATTAAATATTCAAATTATGTTTCACTTTTTTGGGGGGCTAATGATAGTCTTATTTTGTTTTCATGTGTAGTCATTTTTTTTTATTATAGCCAGGGGCCTCAAAAAAAAATAGAAATTGCCCGGGTTTCTCTGGCCCTCTGAGAGAGCCTGGAACTAATTTATCCTAATATATCTGAGTTGAGTGTTTCTGCTGCACATTAGGCAGAGCTGTAGACACTATAAAGTAATACAGAGTCACTTCATGGACATTTGTATTGGCAGGCATTTAAAGTCTCACTCATGACTTATGATTCACCTCCTTCACATTCCAGTCTCGCCATTTGCCGCATTTAAATGTTTTTAATAAAATGCTTCAAATATGCTAAACATTAAGATTCATCAAACTTTGTTTACTTTTAATGATACTAAAGTAAAAATGCATTTTTCCAAAACACTGCCAAAAAAAATATGTTTTTGTGGCGTTTAAAATTTCTTGGATATTTTAAAACATTACTAATCATGCAGTGTCTAATTAGTTTGTTATTTTTTATAAGAATCACCTAGTTTGTGCGAAATCTTAATATATGCTGTCTGATGAAATGTAAAAATAATATTCCACAAGAACTTATATAGTTGATAAATATGAGATAACAGAATTTAAGAGCATTCTCTACAACTGCGTGAAAACTTAGGAGGCGTTAAAAAACTCTGTTCTCTTAATTTGTCATTCTAATTCTCTTTCTTTGATAATATTTTATTGAAGTGACAGGAATTATCAGAAATCTTGCCATGACAACCAAAATAAACTTCGCTGAAGATAGATGCGATATATTATAATAGAGAAAAACTAATTATAAGCCTAATCACACCCTTCTTCCCTAGATCGTAATTACTTTGTGATACATATAAATAGTTTAACGTCAGATTTTGCGCTAGTAATTTATCAATGACTCTGATGATGTGATTAAAGTTATAATCAGTCTTACTGTGGTGTAATAACATCTTATTACCAACTAACATAACATATTTTTCCAACTAAGCCGTTTTATAATTATAAAATTTAAAAAATGACGTTCATAATCTTTGATGTTATGTTCTTTAAATTTTTTGCAGAAATTTGCTAATTCTCTGAACTACAATCGCATGTCTGGTGCACAAGAGCTGATATTAAGCGTTCTATATACTGTTATAATTGAAGTATGTGAATACTATATATAGTATTTTGTAAGATTTTACTGTTTTTTTTAGTGTAACTGCAATTATAAAAAAGCCACATTCACATAATTAGTTGTAACTTTCAGATTATTTATAATAGAGCCCCCCAGTGGCACGGCGGTCTGTCTGCTGACTTACAACGCAATAATCCGGGATTCGATACCCGTGATGGGCAGAGCACAGATAGCGCATTGTGTAGCTTTGTGATTACTTACAAACAAATAAACAATTTATAATAGAAATAAATAACTCAATGTAAGCATCATATTACTGAAAAAAAAAGTTTTTACGAATGATAAACGCTAATAGTTCAACTATGGGAATAAAGTTTTTCATCTAATCTCTAAAAAGTAATGACATGTTAATGTTGTATACTCGTAACTTAACATGTTTATAAGATTTTGGACCTATTGGCGACCTGAAAGCATATTTCTTCCCTGTAATTCTCAATTATTTAAGTACTCTAGGAAAACCTATACGTCACCTATTGTGGACACCTGTACTGTGATCTTAGTAATGTCTGGTAAGCCTAGAAATGAAGCATCTTTCTAAACAGGTTTGCATAAAAGCTTTTTACTTCCCTATTTTAACAAAGGAGAGACAAGGCATAATCCATTTAACGTCAAGCACCAATCCATGTTTTGTCGGAAGTTGAACATTAAAAATATCATCATCATGAAAATTGTTTTGTTGTTGTTTTTTTTGTTTCAAACGCACTCGTTTAGATAATACAAAGGAAAAAATGACGAAACATGTAAAGTTATACAGGATCATACAGCCGTGACATTCTCTAACTGCTTTAACAATATAAGAATGGCACGATAGTTTTGTTAGGATTAGAAATGAACTGTTAAGAGTATAGATATTGATCCAGTTTGGCAACAAAGTTGGTATTGTGCTATTCTGTAAACCATGAAGAATATCTGAAATAACTGCTAAAGTCATTCCAAACATTCCCTTTTTCTAGTTGCTATTACATATATTACAAATTGTCTTAAGCAGTTATTGTATGTGATTTTTCTCATTCGCCATCATAAGTGTTATCTTAATAGTATTATCAATCAAATAATGAGGAAAACTATTTCTTTAAATTGAAAACTGTCTGATGAAACCCAACTAACTATTTTATAAACCCGGTGTTTTAAAATGTATATTATCTTTTTTTATCTTACAAGTAAATAACTGTCAAAATGAAAATGTCTAGAATATATTAGTTATCTTTTGGTAGCACTCCATTCGTCTGTGTCGCTTAGCAACAAAACTACATATATATTAGATTCGAAGTTAAAAACACTAAGAAACTGTCGTAACTATACAAAGGTCACATAAGTTATTTTAACTGTGTAGGTCAAATCAGCTTAGAAGGGCAAAATTGCCTTAACTGTACAGGTACATTAACTTGCAGGGGCAGCAACTATCTTAACTGTATAGGTCGCACTTCAGCTTACAGGGGAACAACTTTCTTAACTGTACAGGTCACATCAGCTTACAGGAGCAACAACTATCTTAACTGTATAGGTAACATCAGCTTACAGGGACAACAACTATCTTAACTGTATAGGTAACATCAGCTACAGAGACAACAACTGCATTTTCGCAGTTTGGGATTAATAACTCTCTAAAGTGTGATCGGATTTGTAAATTAAGGTTGACACTCCTCATCACACTACAAAACAATGGTCCGGATCATTGATCATTCTAGATATGGGAAGGATTTTCTGAGTTTTTGAAGGTTATATTTCACATTATGCAATCTCGAAAAGGAGCAGCGGGGCGATGGCATGCAATCTCGCTCATTGCCCTTGTTACAAATATATATATTTTCTTGGGTATTTTAGAAATTTCAAACCCTCTATCTGCATAAAATTGCTATTAACCAGTTTGTTCTGTTGTTCTGAAAAGAAATCCTTAAATAACCATCCATAAATGCAGGAGCTAAATGTGTTTTCAGAGACTAAAACACTGAGAGCAAACGACTGTAAGCCAGTTTCATAAAATGTTACGAAAAATGTTTGGTTCCTCTTAAAATGTTTCCTTTAACAATATTCATACCATGAACATTTTGATTTGTTGTTTTTGTGTTCGTTCCAGGAAGCATCCGTGTTTATCTTTGAGAAACGTGTGGCAGATAAACTTCACAAACCCAAACGAAAAGAAACCATCACAGAAATCCTGAGATACGGTGTTAGACAGCTGGACCGATTTAAACATCCCAAACTATTAACATTATATCATCCTATCGAGGAGTCAAGGTGAGATTATGTGATAAGTTTCAAAAATAACGGTAAGTTTACGGACTTACAACACTGAAATCTAGGGTTCGATTCCCCATAGGTGGACACAGCACTAAAATAATCAACCAGCCAACTTGTTGAAAAGACACTCATATTTATATACAATGTTTTGTTATTATAGAAAGAACTATTTTGTATCGTATTTTTCTTAGGCCCCCACTTTAGAGAAGATCTAAATAACACAAAGATATATATCGTTTAACTTTTAAGTTTGAATACTATATTTTTTTCTGAATTGTTTATTTGCTTATTCTTAAACGCAAAGTTGCACAATGGGCTATCTATGCTGTGCCCACTATATGGATTGAACTGTGTATTTTAGCGTTATACCCCGTTAAATTAACGCATTTTCATCACATTTAAAACATTTTCAAGCTTAAACGAAAGTTTACTAATTACTTCAAGCTCTCTAGTTACACGAGCAGTCCTACTCTGTTCAATTACTTCGGGTGGAAAATAAAGTTATATCAAGATCGTGCAAAAACCTTTCCCTTGGCTTTTGAATTCCAATAATTGAAAAGTAATGTAAGTGACATGAGCTTTACGATTGATACTAAAAAACGTGTTAGCAGTAAAGAATTCACTGGTGCTGTACCTTCAGCTTTCCTCCGCACCACACAATAACAAACTTATTGATTTTAACAGCTTTGCAAAGGTATATAAACATGCACCATACTTTCATACCTGATCCTAGGAAAAATCGTTATATATGTATGCAACTATGAAAGCACCAATATGTTGTTTTGTTTCCATCCTGGAGGTTTTACAGTTTTTACGGTTTTAACTACATTTTCATTTTCCTACTTTTACACATAAGTTTGTGTTTAGGATATATAACACCTTTAGAAAGAATCGTGCATAGTTAAAAACTGTACATAAACACTTTTTCAATTATAATGAGGGACGAGCGTGGTCAGTGTTTAACCTGTTGGACTATGGATCTGTGGATTCAGTGTTCGCGTTCCGTTATCTAAAATAAAAATAATACTTGGGCTCCGCACTTTGAGACCGTTGGAGGGGGGGGGGGGTATAAAATGAGGGTCAAATCCCTCTGTTCGGTTAGACAAGAGTGGCTCAAGATTTGGCGGAGGATGCTGTCGACAAGTTGCCTTCTCTCTATCAGTTGAAAATTAAATACAACTAGCACAGATAGCTCTAGAGTAGCTTTACGCGAATATCCGAAAACAGACAAATTATACGAGAAAATCAACGGTCATATCTAAATCTGTTTTTTTAACGGCTCCCCCAGTGGCACAGTAGTATGTCTACGGACTTACTCTGCTAGAAACCGCGTTTCGATACCCGTGGTGGGCAGTGCACAGATAACCTATTGTGTAGCTTTGTGCTTAACTACAAACAAACACATTTTCTTAACGAGTCTTCTGCTGCCAGAGGAGTCTAAAAACAAAAATATTAAGCTCTAAACAATATAGCTCTTAATTATGTTTGAATATGAATTCATCTTTGAGTAATAAACTTCCGAAACATCCAAAGTTAATAATGTATCCTTATACATAAGGTACCAACACGAAAGACTTAATGACGTTGTACTTATAAATAAAATTGTGTTCTACTATCTACAGATGTGTCACTTATCATTGACAAGTACTATTAGAGACCTGGAATGATATAGTTAATATTCTACAGATATAGTATTGCGATTTATTTGAAAAAAAAATCAAAATCTAACTCTTAAAATATTTCCGGTGACTTTTCAGACATTAGCTAAGTCACTAACTTCATTTGATTACGTCATTGTCTGTTCGGGATGTACGAGTTGATAATAGATCATATTTCTCTGCTGAACTTGTACGTTTAAAGATGTCACGACGTCATTACCATATCTTATATATTAGGTCGTCAAGAAATTAACGTCGCTTTTTTTAAAATGAAAAACACGAAAAACTTGTATATCAAAACAAAACATTTATTAAATGAAATAGTCTCCAGTCTTATCGATGATGCTTTTCCATCTTACAATCAGGTTGTTAATGACCTGATTAAAGAAATCACTTGGCTTCGAAGCAAAAAACATGTCGACGTTCTCTTTAACACCTTCCACAATTGCATACATTTTCCTATTAAGATGGTGTTGCAGCAAATGAAAAAGATCGTAATCTGATGGTGCCATATCTGCAGAGTATGCTGGGTGGGGGAGAACTTCCCAACCCAATTCCATAATCTTGTGTTGCATGCATTTTAGTTGAGAAAGACGTTTCTGCGGACTATAGATCTCTGTATTGACAGTTCGCTGTAGACTGATGAGTTCGAAATGAATTACTCCTTTGATGTCCCACCAATGGCAAAACATCACTTTCTGCGGATAGAGTCCAGGTTTTGGGGTCGGAAGTGGTTCTTGTTTAGAACTGAGCCATTGTTTTTGGCGTTTA